TCCGTAATAAAAAAAACAAGGACGATTCACAAACACAAAGTTGAATAAACATTATCTTTGTAGAAAAAAACGCGATGACGTTGCGTATAAAATTCGATCGTTGCTGTACCGAATCAATCGACATGTAAAACTGATGCAACGCGATTAACCGTTGCCGTTATCTTGAAGCCTCGAAAGATAACATTTATTTTGTTGCGATCTCTCGCGAATAATGAATACATATACTACGTGAACATCGAACGAGGTGAGTCATTCACTGAAGGAATTAACGAGAAGGAAATGAAAGTGGTAACCTGATTACCGCAAGAAAGTATAAATACGTGAAAAATAAACGACGGAAAACAAACAATTCAATTTCTTCTACGCTAACTGAAATTCCGTGATTATCGAATAAAACACTGAATAATTAATATATCGTTTGAAACCTTTTTATTCTTTCTAATCAAATATTTTTCTGTGTATTACCGTTTTAAGGCTACAGCTTGGTCGAATTAAAGGGGACACCTTGTATATTAGGTAGGTTCAGAAGTGTTACCGTTTATTGTTTTAATGCCGCGTATGTAGTATTATAAATAAAAAATTTGGGCGAAAATTAGGTAGAATGCTAATGGTGAAAATATAGTAAATATAGAGTCAACGAAATTTAATTTAATTAAATGAAACTTGGCTTCAAACTTCGTTAAAAAATTGGATACTACATTTCAGCCTCTGTAGTATTTATTTATATTTATGTGTTTCACGATAATTAATTAATTTGTTTCATATCGTTGCACAGTGTTTCATGCATTGGTTCATACAGAACTATTAAATAATATTTCGTAAATAATATTTCAACTGCTTACAATTTTTCCAAATTTTAGATATTTATCAAATGAAAATAATTTGTACGTTATCTCACACATTTTCTCTAAAGAGCAATTAATCTCATGAAAAAAAAACCATGAAAAAATTGAAACAACTACAGTAGTAACTCCGAAATATTATAATTCATTAAAAAAGCAAATAATTTACAAATAAAGAAATTATAAAAAGATCATTTATAGAATTGTTTATTTATAAGACTATCGATTTCCATAAATCAGAGACGACGAAGTAATTGAATCATTGAAAAGTATACAGAATTGTATGAAAATTAGTCTAACCGAATACAGATATTCAGAAGAAGCTATGAATCGTGAACATTCCATTCAAGAAAATAACACTTTGTGTGTGCAAACTTAATTCTCACGGTCCGGGTGTTAACCCTTTGCACTGGTATGTCGTGCTGGTAATAACAATACAAACTTGTTATAGAACACTGGAAATTGTTTGAAAAACTGCTATACTTTAAAAGATTATAAAAATTAAATCTTATTATAATGATAGTAAATAAAATAAATATAAAACGTTGAATTCTACCGCTGTAGATTACTTTAATTCATTTCCCTAAAAAATTAACACAAATTTACACCCGACAACGTTGAAAATAAATCGAGTGCAAAGGGTTAAATAAATAATAGCCGAAACGTATCTTCTTTTTGGGCTGTATCTGTATTAGCTCGAGTCAAGTGTCCCTCATTATTCGGTCATGTTCATTATCAATGCGAGAAATTTTGTAGTATCAACGAACCCGGTAATGAATATTCGATCGTTTTCGCGTTCGGTTACAGGCAACGTTACGGAAGAATGAAACCGATGCACGTGTGCATCGTTGTAATCTTATCGGCGATTGTGTGAATCAACTTTGAACTTTCGTTCACTTTTAGAACAGATATATAGAGTCGGCCGCACGTGTCTCTACGCATTTCAATAAAACAATCGAAAAATTCAAATGATTCTTGCACGCAACGACACTCGTCTGCCGTTCCCGTCCACGTGAATTATTAAGAGAATAATATAACGATTACGAACAACAATAGTTGCTTATTCCTTTCCACTAGACCGCCCACTGCAAAGGGGCGCCGTAAATGTAGCAAACAACTCGAACGTCCCTTTTAAAGGGACACGGAAAAGACTGCAGATAATTATAGGCGAAGACTTACGCGAACACATAAATACGTTCCAATATTTGAGTGGTTCAGAATAATTGTGGTCTAGCTCTTTTTTCTGAGTTCTCGAGATAAAAAGTTTTCACGGAATATTCTTGGATTGATTAAATGCTAATATTATAATTACTGATATTAATAATTAATATTGCTAGCGACATTGTAATAGTAGTTCACATATAATTATTCTATGACTTTTTGTTAGATACTTACACCCTAAATGTCTAAGTGACAAGTGTTTTGAAGCGATTTAGATTGCAGAAAGGAAACATTCTTGAAATATCAAATGTAGATTATTACAGTGATGTTTTGATAAACATCGAATTATTATATTATGAAGTAGAAGTCGCATAAAAATTGTATGTAAGACGCACCAAACCGATGCACTGAAAAAATCAATTGCATCTACATAACTGCCAACTGTAACGGTTGACAGGTGTATCTCCAACATTTCACATCGATTCGTCCAATAGAAAGAATACAGGTTCATTAAAAAACCATAACACAATTGCACTTCATACGTGCACCCTTAAATGCATTGCCAATGTTTAAATATATCCACGTTCTAAGAATCCAACCTCTCTTTATTCTGCATTCCCCCTGTTTTAACGCCTTACCTTATAATTTATTTCGTAACTAGATAGCTAGAGTCGCTAAATTGTTTCAATAATTTAAACAAAAATTACATATCTATGGTAAGTGTCCATTTTTATTACTTTAACCCTCTACCTCGTCATCTATTTCTTATCTGCGTTCACAAGTGTTGCCAAATTATATAAAAAATGTCTAAAACAATAAAAATACATATTCATTGTAATCGTATGTTACATAAAAATGAGTATTTACAAAAATCAAAAATAATTTTAATTGAAGTGAACCAAGATATATGTTTACATTTAATAAACTCAATTTTCGATTTTCACGTGTCTGACTTGATGCTACAAGGCAAGGGGTTAATGATACCGGGTCAGCCGGGATCCATGAAACGCCCTGTATAACAGCGTCCCAGTGGTTGCACTGCGAGCGAGCAATAAAAGATTCCTACCACCGTAGGTGTATTAAAAATCAGAACTGGCGCGTCGTTGATATTAATGAATGCAGCAAAGGAAGTAGATATCGTCGATGGTGATCGTTGTAAATACTAGTATCGTAATGCTCCCCTTAACGCTCGCAATATTCGAACCAGCCAATTAACGACTAATTCCTACAACTCTGGTCAAGACATAAACGCATATCTGAACTGAGAAATTCCGACTAATGACTGACTCGACTGAACTACGTTTTACTTGCACGTCGCTGAACACAGTCGGGGCATTGGGAAAGAAAATAATGAAAATAATTTTGAGATTCGTTTTGCCTCACGGGAAAACGATCAGACGTTCCTAAATTACCTATAAATTTCATTGTAGGCACCAACTCTCTCATGTTTCCTCCTCGTATATATACATATGGTGCGACATGTATTGATATATACATATACACGCACACACACACACACACACACACCTATATATATATATACATATATATAACACTACTATATACTATAATATAAACTATATATAGTATAACGAGCGAGCGTTGGCTAAAATCGTCAACGTGATCTTTGGTCCATTGTAATATCGACAAACAATGTGCACTTACAGATAAGAAGATAAATATAAAGCGAACTATAATACACCGTTGTGGTGAAGAGGTTATAATACAGTGAAACAATAGCCGCGGTAATTTGTATAAAGTTATTTCGTGGATACAGTTATCCCTTTCTCGATTGCCGTCTAACTATGTCGGCCACCGGATTCATTTTTTGTCACTTTTTCTCAATTTCGTAACGTTCGAACGGTATATCGATAATCGGTGCGATCAAAAATCATTTCACCAAGAAGTTCGTTTCTTGACGCGAGCATGACAGACAAGACACACCGTACGGAACTTACTCCTCGAGAAATCGACATTTTTTATGACATCATAGGCGATGATGTCTCGGATCATTCAAATTCGTATTTATTAATTTTCTAGAAATACTTTTTCAATTCAATTATTATTGAACCGATACAACGAGCAAAGAACGCGAATTAGATACAAATACGTGAGAAATGAGATTTTTGAAACGCCGGGTCAAAATGGACCCGGTCATCGGTGTCCAAGGGTTGACACGGAAGTTCGGTACACGACACGTACATTTTGTCCGGCGAAGGGAAAATCGTGTACACCAACTATACACACGCCTACAGTCTCAATGTGGCCACGAAATGGAGGAGCAGATAAAATGCATAAAACTTACTAGGGCTTGGCAGCGCTAAGGATTACAGAGGATTGATAATTTTTGGCTGTCGGTCGACGGTCTCGTGCGCGCAGAATCATCTTGCTTTAATTATAATCCCCGAGTCATCGGGAGTGTTACTTTCCATTCAGGTAAGTCGCGGCAAGCAGTGTGATCAATTAAACCTCTCGAGCCCCGATACGTACGTATATTAAGCGCGAGGCACTATTATCATCCGACTTCTGGAAACGCATTCGACAATGCACAGAGACACTTTTGATAAGAACCAGTCCTCGCACGTTCGGACAGAGGAGGCAGTGGTACCGCACACACACGAACGGCCCGCAAAAAGAAATACACCCGAGTTGGGAACCATTTACGCGCGTAACGGAACGCGAAAGGTTAGGGCAGGAGGCTAGGATTCGTGTCTGCGAAAGAAGGCAAAAAGGAAGAGAAAAGGAAAGAAAAATGAAAAAAGAAGAGAAGAGAAGAAGGAGCACGAAAACGTATCACACACGGGGAATATGTAAACGTGACGCGAACCAGAATTACAATGGATGGCGAGCGAGCGAGATCGTGGAAGATAGAATAGATCCCGTGGGTTACGAAGCGAGCGCGAGGTTAACTGACGGCAATGATTTTTCCATGGCACCGCGCAGTGGCTGCACTATTCATTACTAAAAATCGCGTGAAATTCGCGGAAATCCACATACCGCGTCTACTAGCTCCATCTTGACTCGTGAGTTAAGCCGGACGCACACGTTCTTTCTATTCGTCGTCGTCGTCGTTCTGGTCAGCGTCTTCTGGCCGTCTTTCACTCACGATATACACTATCGTCCCGCACACGTCGCTGTTACTCACTAACACAATAAATCCATTGTGAGAGAGAGAATTCCTGGCAGCACATTCCGCGTGTACGTAAGTACGGATACGAGGGTGTACGACG